ATTTGCATTGACAATAATATTTTAATTAATTAATTGTGTTGGTTAGATTAATTGTGTTAAATGGTTCGAAAAGGGCCGGTTGGTTAGGTAAGCCGGCCGCAGGCCACGCAGCTAACGACTTCGCAATATTTACGATCAAGTTTCGTAACATTAGGTTAGAGTTAATGTTGGTTAAATTAGTTGTGTTAAATGGTTCGAAAAGGGCCAGTTGGTTAGGTAAGCCAGCCACAGGTCATGCAGCCAACGGCTGCGTAGCATTTGCGGTCAAGTTTTGTAACATTAGGTTAGGATTAGTTCGTATTGGAGTATTAAAGTTAGTAATAATTGTTAATTAAGTTATATAAAAACATATGTGATAGCTAAGCCACAAAATCACGTGCCCGAGCTTTTTCTAATGCTGTTTCTAGAGGAGTTATGTTTATTGTAAAAAAAAAATTTAGTGCGATTTTATTAGTTAGAACTGAATTTCTGGGCGTTTGATCGATGAAAAAATTTCCTTTTCCTCAAAAAATTCTCCCTTTTAGGCAATTCATGTAATGCCAACGACCGGCCATTATTATATACCTTACACTAACACTAACACTAAAAGGTAGAGGATAAAGGTAGAAAAGGATCTACCTTAAGGAATAAAGGTTGTTTAAATATTTTTTTTTTAAAAAAAAAAAAAGATTCAGATCAGTCAGTCTGTTGTGATGGCACAGTCAAGTGTATAATTAAATTATTTTTATTTTTTTTTTTTAATATTATGTATTGTTTATTCCTATTGTTAATTATTTATTTTTTAATTAATAATAAATCAGTTCATAATTATTGATTAAATAATTTTATTTTATTTTTAATTTGGTTTATATTTTATAGGTTAGATCGAGAGATTTGCCACTTTGGATTATCGTGGTGACGCAGTAAGATGGGTAACTTTTTTATTATGTTACTTACTTTTTTTGATTATTTAATTTTTGATTATTAATCAAAATCTAATGGCTTTTTTTTGATTTTAGTTGAGACTGATTCTGCTCTTTCAGATGTGACACCCTTTAACTCATCACAGTTATGCAATCGCAATTGTTATTACTAGGTAAAGGTAACCGTTGGAGTGTCCAAAGTGTAATTCAATTTATAAAATTTATAGTAAAATAAAATCTTTAAATATATTACAATTATGTGATACAATAAAATATAAAAATTATAGTAAAATGTAACACTAACTACAAAAATGTAATAATATGTAACATAATAATATAACACTAAAAATTTATTGTGTTTTTGACCAAAACAAAAAAAAAATTTCATTCAATTTTGAGGAATCATAGATCTTAACTGTATTTCTTCTGCTATTCTCTCTTGTAGTCTCTTGCAAGTTTTGATACGCTGGAGTCTCTCAAAAGAAAATGGTTGAAAAAGTATATTTTT